GTATTTTTAAAATAAAAATGGAAAACAAATTTGTCATAGTACATAATTTATTTTTTGTTGATGTTATTTAAATAAATATAGTCTAAATTATACATATAATACATATTTACCTGTTTTTTATTTGGACAGGTAAAAGAAAATAACTAAAAAATTAAAATAGTATATAAACTTCATAATGATGCACACAATCATTTGTGTAACTGCTAATTTTGTGATTCTAATTTACCTACAATAAGAATTAAAAATTAAATTACTGGTTGTAATATCACAGACAAAATAGCTATCGCCACAGACCGCTACTGGAATAGGCCAGCAGTTTTAAATTTCCGAATTGCCGATAGAGTACACCACCAGCAGAATTTTAGGAAGAATCAAATGCAGCGGACCGCATTCTTACATGTATCCCAGCAACATATAAACTACGGTTTGGCAATGTTGTCACGTGTACTTAAGGATTTTTTTTATCAATGCTTGTTTTTTGCGTTACTGTATTTACTTAAATGTAGATATTGATAAAAATAATTTAAAGAATGAAAGCATAGGTACCTATGTAGTCATAGACGATCGGATATTCTGCAGTGGTTATTTAATCATAATTTGGTTAATTAGCTACTATTTTATTTTTTTGGTATTGAAATACTGCAGAAAATATATTTCCAAATACACAAAATTCGGAATAATATTTTAAACAGCTTGTTAATATACATTTTTTAATATTTGATAAGAAATTTATTTAATATACAAGGTGGATTATTAGTACGTCGCCGAATGTAGGTACAGGATTTTTGTTTGTATTTTGACATCCACTTAAAGGTTTAATAATTAAAGACAGAAAAAAAACTAAATACAAATGTACGACTTTTCCTTTATTTCTTTTGACATGAAAATTTGCTGGCATAAAATATGCGTTTAAAGTAAAAAATAATTAAAAAAAAATCATCCTTACCGAAATAACAAACAACATGCAAGTAATTGTGATTATACAGTTGAAAATATGCTTTAATTTACTATTTATTGCTTTAAAGACAAATTCAGAATTATCCAACATTTCGCCCTATATTTTTTCTTTCAATACTTGTAAAATTTGAGGTCTTTAATAGTATATTTGTTGAAGTGTCGTCACAAAAATATGTCTAAAGGACTGAGATCGGGGCTGTTTTATGGGCACCTAAGGTTTCTGATAATATTTTTTATGGTGTTCGTTGACGGGATCGTCCTCCAAAATAAATTTGCCGATATTCCTGAAGAACTTTTACAAATTATTGTTATTTGAATAATACAGTTTAATTATGTTTTATTTTTCATCAGAATAACCCAATTTAATTTTTTTTTAATTTTTAAAATTAAAATGGATTATTCTAATAATGGATAAATCCCATCTATTTTTAAAGGAAGGTTCGTTTCTGTCGTTTTTGTCTGATTGTGTGTGAGAGAGATAGAGTGACTTTGTCCTCATAGAGGGCTTTTCTCTCTCTCTGTCTGTCTCTTTCTCTGCTGGAGTTTCTAGGGCTTCCCCAGCATCTTCAGAACACCTAGGGAGGAAGCCTTTTTAGCCTTCATTATCGAACTATGACGTCATAGTACATTCGAAAAAAAACGGTTTTTGCTCGTAACTCGGAAATGGCTGGAAATCCAAATAAATCTCCCCTTGGTTCTGAGTAGAGCACTTGGTGGGTGAGGCAGAATGGGGCGTCACAATATATGAAAGAAAAAAAACAGTATTTGCTTGAACCTCGGAAATACTCGAAATATCGAAAAATCTCCCATGGTTCTGATTGGTGATCGAGTGAAAAACGTCCGAAGTCCGCATGTCTAAAAAAAAAAAATCGGGACCAACGGTGTGTGACATCATAGAATAAAAAAGTATTTATAACTCGGAAACGGTGCATTGAATCGAAAAAATAATAACAAAAATCTCCCGACACCCCCGGTCCTGATTGTTCCTTCCGCGTTGAATGCAAAAGGTTCGAAGTCCTTATGTGGAAAATAAAGTTCGGAAACAATAGGTGTGGTGAGGTGATACAGTAAAAAATGTCTTAACTCGAAAAAATAATTGAAAAATTCTCCCCCACACCCCTGGTTCTGATTGTCCGTTCCGCGTTGAATGCAAAAGATCCGAAGTCCGTATGTCGAACAAAAATTTTTGAAACAAGAAGCATGCGACGTCATATAGCAAAAAGGCCGTATAACTCGGAAACGGTGCGTTGAATCAAAAAAATAATTTAAAAAATCTCCTCCACACTCCTGGTTCTGATTGTCCCTTCTGCGTTGAATCCAAAAGGTCCGAAGTTTCTATGTGGAAAATAAACGAAAGCAAGAGGTGTGTGAAGTGATACAGTAAAAAAGGTCTTATATCTTGGCAACGGTGCGTTGAATCGAAAAAATAATTAAAAAAATCTCCCCCACACCCTCGGCTCCAATTGTCCGTTCTGCGTTGAATGGAAAAGGTCCGAAGTCCGTATGTCGAAAAACAAAAAAGGTAATCAAAAATTGCCATAGCAGTAGCAAACGCATTGTCTTATCTCTGTAAGGGATCATTGATTGATGATTTGTTGTTTTTTTTTAAATAAATTCCGTATTCAACTACTCCTTAAGGTTCCAGCCATTTTACATTGTGTTAATTTTTTTGAACACCTTGTGTCACAAATATAAGCACTACCAATGGCATCCATGATATGCAACACTTGTGTCAATAATGATTTTACTCAACTAAAGAAATCAACAATAAGAGAGCAGTACCCATTTAAGGATACACAACCTGTATAATGCAATTTTTTTAAACATAGGTGTTTTTATCGTACCAAACTGGAAGTTGACGCACAAATCTAAAAACATTAATTTCAAGTTTTTGAATTCTCCCATTCCAAGGTGATATAAAATAAATAATTAATTAGGTAAATTCATAGTTTTAATTCTAACTTGATTTATTTTATTTAACATTTAAGGCAAATGTGATTTCCAAACAGAAGATAAGTTCCATATCTCTGTAATTACATAATTTAAAGCAATAAATTTATTTAGCAGTTATTATTTGGCATCAAAGCCACCGCTAGAACTGCCGCCTATTACCAAGTAGAAGAGTTACCACCCTAAATTTTATAGCTGCATCCATTTTAGGCTGCCAATTTCCATCATTTAACACGCAGTCTGTAGCGATAAGCCATATTGTCTGTGGTAATATAATAAACGTAAGCAAAATTATTGATAATTTTCAGGAAGTTCACAAGAAAAAGAAATATTTAGTTGGAAAAGTGTCAGTGCTTAGGGCATACTAATTCGTTTTTTCATTAAATTTGTATGAATACAAACACTGTATAGGCAACATAATTTTTATATTTTCTCCTTCGTCTGTATTCTTAATGAGTATAGGGTATAACAATTTTACAAAAATTAAATTTAGAGATTCTATAGAAAATTATTTTTTAAAACAAATTTTCCGATTAAAAGACAGCCTACTAAATATTTTTAATTTGGTATCCTAAAGTAAAACAAAAATAAAAATTATAAAAATGGAGTTACTTGTGATCACTTTTGATGTTTTCTAGATATCATACACAAAAAAAATACCAAGAAAATAAATTACAATATTATTAAGCCCTTGGAGTTACTCTGTGATTTGATATAGTTTCGGTGTACTACAATGATGTGACAAGTTAACACTTTAATATCAGTAATAAAATCAAAGTGATAACGGAAAATAATAAAGGTGAATAATGAAGGAGAATTTGTTGATGATGATGATGAATAGGGCAATTTTTATAAGAAAAAAGTGTTTTCTGCAATATATTACGAAAAAAAGATAATATGAGAGTTTAAAACGTGCCAAAAATATAAATTAAATGTTTGTTACAGGAATTATACGGAACGAAATTTCTAAGTAAATCAATACATAGATTATTATTATCCATTTTCCTTTCTGACGTTTATAGTAACAAAGTATTACCAACAGTCGCAAAGTAACCTCATTTTAGAGAAATTTTGTAAATAAGTAATAGCAAATCATTCTAGAATCTTTTAATTGGATATTATTTTTGTTGCTACTTATATAAAATATTTCTTTCCAAATTGATAGAACTGATAAGCAAAAATACCACTTTTGTCGATTTTGAACCGAATACGCTACTTTATCCTTTAGGGTGAATTCTATGTAATTAAACTAAAAACATAATACCCAATGTAAATTTTATCCAAGGTTGACGATATTTGATAAAACTGGATAAATGTATTTATTTAATATAACCGAGATTAAACAAAGATAACACCTCTTACTTTGGATATGTCCGGATGTTCCTAAAAATGCTATAAAATTGTCAACACTGAATTTGTTCATAGAAACTATCGCTCAATATGAAACCATAATGTTGTTCATTAAAAATTTTGTTTACCCTTTATTTATTATCTACAATCAAAAATTTAAACTTTAGTTATTTATAAAACATTTCAGTACAAATTTATATTATAAGAAATTTAAAACACCCTGTCCAATGTCTACCTTTAACAACAGAACATTTTAATATGTTCAACCTGTTAAACCTTGAAAGCAAGTACGAGGAGATTGTACAAATTAATAAAATAATAATATGGCAAGCATCAACGTTCCATCGTTGTAAAAGGAACAGCATCCACAGTAGTGCACTTACCCAGTTCTGTAAGTACTTTATTTTAGCAGTAATAGGTATTGTAATACACAAGTGGCGAAAGTTTATTTGTTCAGGCACACTTTTGTGAGTATGTGTTGACAATATGTAATGTGTTTGCGTCTGTGCAGTAGGAAATTTTATACTATAAAAACTACAATATAACCCGGAAATTTTATATTTACATTTGTATGTGACGCAATTATAAGATCACAAAAAATATATTTCTATGACGCAAAGCATAATGATTGGGATGAAAGTTCATTTACGTAACTATAAACAATAGCAAGTAAAATATAAAAAAATACATGTTTGTTTATAATTTATGTTTCTGATGCAAATGTTCCAATGTTTTTCTTTCAGGAAAAAGGAAAATGTATAAATTAACAATCATGGGCCTTATAATCACCCTAATCGCCTCCAGTGAAGCAGCACCCGGTGGCGCAGTATCTGCAAGTGGATCAGCGGAAATAAGCGGTGTAAGTAATCTTGTTAATAACGGTGCTAATTAAGATTACCTTGATACATTTCTTGTTAGTATGAAGACTACATTTTTTTCAATAATAGCTTTCAAATTTTAAATTATAAAGTATATTTTATGAACAATATGTGCCAACATAATTTAGTGGAGCTTGTTACTACTGATCTGGTATTTACTGGTTCTTAATTTAGTAAACATATAGACAACCATAAAAGTTAAAAAAAAAATATTTCTTCACCACCCTCATAGTGAAATGTAGAGATAAATTATTAGTTCCTTTCCTTTTCCATGTAAATAATTCCCTCTATTCTTCAAATGAGAAGCAGACTTGCGAGATGTTTATCCATGATTGCAAATTTTCACGAGAAAATGTGTTCCCCAAATAAATTATTCTGTAACACAGATTTAAATAAGAATTAAATATTAAAACATGAAAAAGATTCAAGTCACATTAATTGAAAAAACAATAGAACAAGTAGTATAAGTCAATTCTTAAGTCAGTCAAAATTTTGTTATAGAAATAAAAATATGATGAAAACCTTGTTCTATTACTATTATATTTAATTATTTCTTGCTAGCATAAAGGTTCAAGTCGTTAGTCTTCAAACTGTGGTTTAATTTTCAATTACCAATAAATAAACTACGGTTTAAACATCTAGAAAATATAGTTGGATGTCACTTAAGTATATGTTTTGAAAACTAAAAACAACGTAAATTAGTAGTAATGTCCTTCAACAAATTTTCGAATTAAATTACAGATTAGTAGGACATTAAATGTTGAAAGTATCACGGGTGTTAGAGGATAATAATGCTATCGGGTCAGAGACCCTCCGAAGTATATTGTCGACTTTAACACATTATCCATCACATATTTACTTAATTATTATAATGTCGCTTTCAAACCTAACACCTCCTATAGAAACGAAAAATTAAACAAATTTGGATCCACTACATTTTGTAAGTCTGCTTCTCAAATTATCTCGAATTTCTTGAACTGGCAATCTATTACCTACGTAGCTATAATTTTGCTATATTTCTCTAACATATCCTATATAAATCTATAGAGAATTTTGAAACTATATTTCCTTTATCTTTCAGTTGTCCAATATTAGAGAAACATGTGACAGTGTAGGTACTTAGAATACACTTACTTCTCAATATTTTAAGAATAAATGAACGAATCCTGAATTTGAATTGAGAGTTATTAATATTTAATAATTAATTACCAATAATTAACAACTAACTTAACTTTAATATAGAAACAATATGCTTTTTGTACATATATCTTAGTTCCTAAGTTCAATATATAACATTAATATATTGAATTTTGAAAAAGATATTTACATTTAGAAAAGCTTGACTTGGCTTGGGACAATTGCATGCTGCATACTTTTTTCCTATTATATAATTATTTCTTAAAATAATATAGTAAATAATATGAATCTAAAACTTTCAAATAAATGCCAAGAAAGAAAAAATATTTCAGTTTCTTTCAAGTATCTCAAAATTTAATTTAATTAATCGTAAATGACAAAAATTTGTTATTTGGAACACGTTATACACACATATTAAAGATACGTAATTTTTCCATACATAAAGTTAATTTAAAATTAAAGAATTATTAAATTAAATAAGTTTGAAGCAACATTGCATATTTACTAATTATTTTTGTAACTAATATTTGCAATTCCTTATATAGAAACGTCCCCCCTTATTTTATTTCGAAAATGGCACTATTGGAGTAAACTTTCTTGGTTTTAAAGCATCAGCAGGTCTTGGTGGTCTGCTTACAGGGAATATGGCTGATGGTGGTATTCATGCCGAGGCAGGAACACCTTTCGGGCAGAGTGCTGGTGCTGGTATAGGTGGCAATGTAGACGAGAACAGGGAAAATAAGGGACATAAATATAGCTACGCTACAAATAGAATGTCTAGAGTGTGATAGTACCCAAAGTTTTTATTATTTTTAAAGATCTTTATTGTATAAAATTTATAGAGATTTAGACTGCACTCGTCTCGAAATATGGTATATAAATGCCGCAATTTACTCTACAATATAAGGGCACCAATTTTAAATGTATCAAAGAGCAATTGAGAGAAAGATAGATAATATGTTACCACCAAAACCATAAGACTGGCACTTAAAATGTAACGCACCTTTATTTCAATAAATTTTATAAACATTTTTCTAGTTTCTTGGGAAAAAAGCTTACTGTATGATTTTAAACATGCCGAAAAAATTAATTATTAAAAAAGGATATCGATTCTACATTTATAAATATCAATTTGTACAAACAGAAATGTGTTCATTTTAAAAAGGGTTTTATATTTTTATTCGACTAACAAGTTAAAAACATAAATGTTTCATCAAATAGACATCGTTATCTAAAATTAAAAAAAATAAAGTTCTATTCATGTTTTCAAAAGTTAAGGAATTTTGTTATTGTCAAAATATATGTTCTTATTTATTTAAAATAAGGGGTCATAAAAAAAAACAATTTTGGATAAACTTTTAACACATTTTGGATTTACTACCTATAAATCCATTAACAAAAAGTTTAAGTTTTCTAATTGGTTAAATTGTTTAATAAAAAAATACGATATACTAAACTGGCCACTTTCACTTTCATAGCCCCACAAAAAAAAAAATAAAAATTCTGTGCATCGGACTATCCTTATGTTTTCGACGTCGCTGAGTCTGTTTGGAATGATTAGGCCAGGTTCAAAGTCATTATAGGGTCACTCTAAGGTCAAACTGAGAAAAATCCACTATAGCGGGGACAACCAAAGTAATTAAATGTTTTTTTGATAGTTGCCGTGCTTGAAGTTGAGGGAGAATTTTGGTAGACAGTTCAGTGCGTTATATGTTACATGTCAATAATATAATATTGGTTTCGTATTTTATGGTGAAAGATGAGTATTCACATTTTTGATTTTACTTAGAAGCCTAACTCATCATCATTAAAATCATCAATTATCTAAGTAAAGGCTTCATTTCTATGATAGTTCTAATAGAGTCTTTACAATCCTACTACCCTGAAGGATACTGTAAACGATAGCAACTGCTCCGAAATGAGATGTGTAGAATGATTCGCTTTTCGGTTTTACCTTGAAATGTCCTTTAACCTGACCTGACAAGGTCAAACGGACCTCGAATTCGGACTCAGCGATCTCGAAAACAAAAGGATATAGTGTAGTAAGGATCTAGTCAGATAAACAGATTCTTTTTGTGGGGCTATATATTTTTATTCAAATAACTTAGTAGGAAGATATTGATTATTTTTTCACCACAATCAATATACTCGTATGGCAAATTTTATTAGTGCTGGTCCGAGACCTGCAACCAGTAAAACAACTGTACTTATATACTATATTATGCTAGGTAGTCTATAATAAATGTAAAATGTGGATAGTTACATATTATTGGCTTTGTTATTCAAATTTCTATATTAGAATTATTGAAATGTTACACACGAAAATCTACGAGAATTGCCTTGGGTTATTTCATACACTTTTCTCAAAAAAACTATATAAAGCGAAAATAAGATGAATGCATTCAATGCGTGCGGTAATATATTCTACACAATATTAGTGATTTCCAGGCTAGTCATCTTCAAATAGTTGAACACTTTTGAAAACGTTAAGACCGTAACATAACGAAATAATTTTTTAAATGAAAATCTTATGTAACATCAGTAATTTATTTTTAATGAGATAACAGGATGTCAATGACTGTCAAAAAATAGAATTTACTGAAACGTTAAAAATTATTAAATTACTAACACTCCTAAAAGTGTATAAACTTTCAGAAAAAACACTAATTTACCACTATCAGTCGCTTCTAAATGTCGAGTTTGCTGAAAAATTATGAATCATGAAATCCATTCTTAAAATAGGGTACATAGAAATAAAATTCTATATCTATCAATTTCTAATTAGAAACATTAAAATGGCATTACATTTTGCATCACTTAACAGTCGACAACCCCATTACCTTGTTTGTTCTGAGATTTGAGATAAAGTAAATTTGATTTTGATCTTAATAGACAAATTGTTTAAATCTATAATTTTCTTATGTATATGGCTATTTCTATTATCACTTATTACACCTTTTTATTCATATCTTCATAAATTCAATGCTATTGCTGTGGTTGTTGTCCTAGGAATAGTATTAAGGCTTGTATTTTTTACACTAGTGCCAACAATGAATTACTAACTAAAATTAATTCAGATACCTAACTTTCTTTAGATAATGTAGCACTTTTTTACAAATAAATTAACTGATGCATATGATGATGCAATCAATCTTTATTTATATTAATAACGAGAAATTTCATCTAGGAGGTGTTAAAAACAATTATTAAGTATTGTTAAACCCGTAAAAAAGGAAAAAGATTATTTGTGACGCTATTTTATTGCAGTCAGTAAGAAGTTACCAGTATAAACATTTTAAACTTAGAAACCTAACCAAACCAAACCTAATCAATAGTAAAAGAATAAAAATTCGTTGACGGTAGCTATAGGCAACTCAATATACCTAGGTGTTATCTGTTTGGTTATTAATTTATTTTAATTTACTACTATATTATTTATATATTTATCCAACAGGATTGATTTGCAGAACTACAGAATATGAATGACAAAAAACATAGAAATTATTTTTTTTCTATACAGTGGAATATAAGTTTCGTTCATCACAAATAATCTCGCTTTTTTTGTTTTATTATCCGGTATTTTAATCAAAAGCTTTGATCCCAAATCATCTATACTGTTCAAATTTAATTGATACAGTTCATCACGGCGACATGCACTAACAACACCAATTTTGGTACTTATTATAGGTACCTATTAAACTTGATTTGACTTTTGTCATAATAAATCAATGATTGTCAAGGAAACGATTTCATAAGAGATGTAACTTGAGGGGTTATTTCTTTAATTATTTATCTACCGTTATGACCAGTATCATAATGAATCTGGATTTCAAAAGAGTTTACTATTTAACTCTCGAAATGGAGTTTATAATTATCATTATACTTTAATTAATACGTGGGAACTTAGAAATGTTGTCCGTTCAGAGAATGAATACCAGACACTTACCGTATGTCGCTCATGTACAAGGTAATCCAGTGGTTGGTTGTATAGGGTGACAATTAAGTTGGAAGAACAAGAAAGAAACACCAAACTTCCAGGAAGGGTTTTAATAACAACAACAACAAAACAAACAAACAAAATAACGACACAACGGGCTCGAACAATATTATTAATTAACTTATTGACACGCGACAGCGTACCGAGATTCATGGAATGCGCAATCCATAGCAAAATTTGGAATGACTTTTCCCATTATTAAATTAACCCGAGACTCTAAAACTAAGTAGACTGCTCAATGTGAAACCCAAGAAAGAACTGCCATTTTTTCGTAGATCTCTCCTGAATTCGACACTTCGCTTCGACACGCCCATTTCTTGGTTCTAGAAGTTTCTGTTCTAATCTTACTAGCGGGAACTCTGTATATCGGGACGCTTTGACATAACTATGCCATGTTAATAGTTGTCTAATGGACTGAATTTTACATTTATCTAAATAATTTTGAGACTAAACTTACAAATAACCCTAGCCTTCCTCTAGTGACTCCGCATAGCAATACGGAACGGATTAGTCCATATAATTTAATCTATTCTTATAGCTTGGAAAATCCGCCTAAAAAACGGCTATTTGATCTATTATTATTTTCCTGAAAACATTCTAACAACTTATTCTTGGAATTTCTACGTTGTTTGGAATGCATTTTGCGCGTTATTTGAAATATACATTTTTCTCTTTACCAGATGCTCAACACATGGCCCCGACGGTCTAAGTGAATTTGTTAAAAAATATTGCTAAATTTCTCCGAAGGACGATGCTAAACCTACTTGAGAGCCCGTAACTTTCGATAAATTAGTGTTGACTGAAATATTTTACTTTTTGGCCTATCCGATCCGAGAACTAATAAACAAATGACTGCGCGTCCCGGCTTTTGTTACAGATAGCAATGAAGAAATGTTAGGTATGCATTAATAAAAATGTTTTAGTTCATATTAATTAATTAATTAATATTGTTTGCGATTTCAGAAAAAATAGTATGTGTACCTCATTGTAAAATTATATTCTCGGATTCAATGCATTGTAATCCGTATCAAGTAACCATCACTATAAAAACATATTTTCGACCATGCAGGTTTAAAAAAATAAAACGAAATATTATTCACAAGAGATTCTTTATTTATATTCTGTGAAGTTGACAGGCACACTGAAATAATTTTTCAGTGTTATCTAATATCGATACCCAAATATTGGTCAAATTTAAACAACTGTATTTTCTATTTAAAAACTTTCTGCTCTGTAATCAAATTTTATTTGGGGTGCTACACAAAGCCAAATGTTTATTCAAGCGTGGGGAGTTTGTGAAATACATTAGATAATCGTTCATGGCACCATTCATAATTACATACATGTCCAACCTACATAACTTTTTGGAGTTTCTCTTTGTTAGTTCTACTGTTTAAAAGGTTTTATTTTTTCTTAAATGCTCAGTTTTGTCAGAGCATATGACTAGATAATTAAACTACCAAACACTACTGATAATAATGTACTACAAAATTTAACAAAAACTATAAATTACAAAATTTAAATTAATTAATATTTAACTATTTTTAATATCTGAAGACGTAAACAAACTACAGGTAAATGTACAATGTTATAGAAAGAACGTTTGGAACAACTCTTTAAATTATAGGAAATGTTTGACAGCTATACACTTAATTTTTGTCAAATTAACAGAAAAAATTAAATAAAAAATATACTTTAATATGGTAAATAATTATTTATTTCCTTGAAAATGTAATATCCTGAAAATAATTTACACTCCTTGCTCTAAGTATTGTATTTTCTACAAAAATATAATTTAATGTTCAAATTTTCGAAGAAATAATGTATAATTTTCTAGATATTAGGTGTATATTAAAATAATTTCTATACATTTCAGGTTCCGAAACTACTTTCTTTTGAAAATGGGAATGTTGGTGTTAATTTCCTTGGATTTAAGGCTTCTGCTGGACTGGGAGGATTACTTACGGGAAACGCGGCTCATGGTGGACTTCAGGCGTCTGCTGAAACTCCATTTGGTCAAGCAGCTAGAGCTGGATTGGGCGGAGCAGTTAACGGAGAAGGTACGGAAGATAAAGAAGTTATCCATTTTCTAGCTACTAATTTAGAATATTGGAAAAAAAATAAATAAGAAAGTGGTAACTATATCTGCAATAAATACAAAATTCAATATTTGATGATATTGAATTTTGTATGTACTTACTTGTTAATCAAAGCGTGACAAACTATATATTATTTCAATAATGGCTGGGAAGGTATGACTATGAAAACATCCATAAATGTAACAAAGAGAAAGTTGGTCGGCTGCTTGGCAATCAACATATTAGCATCATATTTTAATAAAAACTAATTGGAAATAATTGCACTATGCGAGAGTAGGTAAATAATATGCGGACCAATAGAAATAGGTGGATCAATATTCGTACAGTTAAACGTCCTCGAAAACTGTCTAAACTGATGCTGATGGCAATTCTTGAAAGAACTGAAAGTCATAGTGGACCACAATAAGTTTATCTTGATAAAGGTACCGGTATATTTAGGGAGTTAGGGCAATGAAAAAGCTAACGAAATAACCAGAAAAGTTTCATAAATTTTTTATGTTGGTCAAGGGAATATCAAAAATCATGGGACGAAATAAGGGAAAGAGTCAACAATCAGCTTAGAAGATACTGGAGTAGCTTAGAGTCAACAATCAGCTTAGAAGATATTGGAGTAGCTTAGTTTATTAGAAAACCATCAATAAGGAAGACTAAAAATCTGCTGTCAGGAATCAGTTGTGTTAGTAACAATTCTCCTCACAGAACATACAAGGCGACATCTGAACAGAATTGGGCTGTATGAAGTATAGTACATGTCGCACTCTGTTACACCTGACTATAGGGAAAATTTTCCTTCACGATGAAGTTTCTAAAGTCATTAAGAGTCTAAAGCCCTCTAACAGTTTAGATGTTCTAGAACTAAATAGCCGTATTGTTATGGAAACTTTTGACCTAATTGTGCAACCTTTTACCATTTTAATTAACTTAATGTTCACTAATGGCGTATTTCCCGATATATTTAAATTTAGTCGAGTTAATCCCATTTTTAAAAAAGGCGATCGACATATAATTTTGGTAAAATAATAGAAATAATTTTGAAAAATAGACTCCAGTTATTTTGAATCGAACTGTTTTTTGTTAAATAATCAGTATGGCTTCCGCCGTGGTAGATCTACCATACAGGCCTTACAGAAAATTGTTGAATACATTGTAATGGGACTAGAAAGTAGAGAACACGTAGCTCTTACGTTGTGTGACTTGACTAAGGCATTTGACTGTATATCTCACAGCTTACAACTGCGGAAGCTAAGTTGCTATGGTGTTAGAGGTTGCGCCGTCAATCTGTTCTCAAGTTATTTGAAAAACAGATGTCAGTGTGTTACAGTTAATGGCAATACTTCCAAGTTTAATCGTATTGACCACGGTGTTCCGCAGGGTTCTGTTTTGGAGCCCTTGCTTTTCGCAATATATCTTAACGACTTTTGCTTTGCTATCGCACCCAATAAGTGTGTACTATTCGCAGATGACACCACCCTAATTAATATGAATAAAGATTCCTCATGTCTAACTGAAGATTCATCTAACATGTTATCTAAAGTCATAAATTGGTTTTCGTTTAACAATCTTAAAATTAATAGAGATAAATACCAGAGTATAACGTTTACCACCAATCCAGGGCATGTAGAACATAAATATGTTAAAATCCTTGGCATTACAATTGATGATAAATTGACTTGGTCTGACCATGTTGATTCCATGAATAAAAAGTTGTCTGGGGTAGTTTTTTTGTTAAGGCAACTGAGAGAGGTGATTAGCATTGATACTTTAAGATCAGTTTATTTTTCCCTCTTTAATTCCATCTTGTCTTATGGTATTGTGCTATGGGGGGGCTGCTCTAGGGCTTTAAAAGCCTTTAAAATCCAAAAAACAGCCATTCGTATTCTGGCCAACGTAGGTTATAGATATCACTGTCGTCAACTTTTTGTGAACCTTGCAATTATGCCCTTGCCATCGCATTATTAATGTTTATTGGATATTCATAAGAATATTGCCCGTTACACGGTTCAATCGGATATACATACATAACTACTGTACTCGTACTTCTAAATTTTTGCGGCTACCTAGATATCGCTTAGCACTGACTGCGAGAAATTCCTTAAATTTAAACATGTACAATGTCCTCCCATCACATGTAAAATCACTATGTTTTGTCAAATTTAAATTGTGTATAACGAATTATTTGTTGTCAAAATGTTTTTATTCCGTTAGTGACTTTATGGATAGTATTCATGACTTTTAGTAGTTGCTTTCACGCTGACGTTTATTATGTTACAAAGTAAATTTTATTGTTAGGTCAATTAATCAATATATTGTGTATTTTAATTAGTGTTTGTATTTTCTTAAATTGTTGTTTTTATGATTGTGTGTCTTTGACTTGCTACCATAATATGTTATGTATTAATGTAGACCAATAAATATTCTATTCTATTCTACAACAGTAAAATACGGGTATCACAAGTTCAAAATGATAAACTTCAATTGCATACACTTAACTAGCTAAAAAAATATTTAAAAAGTCATATATTTAACATTTCTAATAATCACTACTGAACAATAACTTGTTCCAGTCATGTCTAGTATTTAATGAACATTTATTTGTATCTTAAGATTCAGTGTCTTCTTGGATTTGAAAATCATTCTTTATTAAATTTGATCAATAGGGTCAATAGCAAAAATTGTTTTCAATTATTTGACCCTTTTATGCTACAGTGGTAAACCGTATTAATTTTTAAGAAACGAAAAAAAATTTTATTAATGTAATCCTGAATAAGTAAGTTCCAACTTCCAACCCACCCATATTTTCGTTACTATATAGGTTAGTCACCAATAGCTAAAAACTTTTTTACTGTTACTTAAATAGGCTTAGATGAAAATCGTTATCAAATCATCGTCATACAATTTGCAACATAAGCATTTAGAATTTATCACGTTTTGTATCAATTTTGAAAGAAGGACGTTCCACAGAACTTTCAATCGAATTAGGGACTTGTATTAATATGCAACATTTTTTCCAGGACGGTCCCTGGGTGGCCTGTATGCCGGTGCTACCGCTGGTGGTGGGATCTCAGCAGGAGCAGGCTTAGCAGGGGACACAGGTGCCGAAGGATCAGTGGGTGGTGCTTACGCAGGAGCTTCTGCCGGTGGCGTTGGAGTAGTGAAATCCAGGACAAAAGTCACGGAATTTGAGAATCCAGTTGAAGTAGAAAAGCAAGTAGAAGTGTCGGCTCCCCTAGGTGACTACATAAAATAGTTATCTAACGGAAAACAAAAAGTCAAGCTTTAAAGATATGTCGCCAAAAAATTTTAATGTGATTAGTAGCATATATTACTGTAGTCTGTGATCATAGTTTTATTATTAGATTAGTGCTTTCTGGGTCATAATAAAGCTAGATGAATATACAGGGATGGCCAAAAGTACGGAATAAAATTCATATCTTTTGAATGAGTTAATTTTTTTTAAAACGCCAAAACACGTTAACTGATTATAATTTTTTCCCATCTTTCGGTTATATAATAATTTTTCTTCAACCCCCTAACCCCCAGCTACCCCTACTTTTTTTTCAAATGGAAACATAAGGCATGAGGGGGCTCGTTGAAAAGCTTATAGAAAACCGAATCCAGCCATACCAAATAAACAAGTTTAATTTTTTCAGTAACAAGTTTTTTTTTTCATTTAGAAATTGAAACAACTAGATAATTTACAAAAATAAGCTCAATGTCGCAAACGCTGAAAATGTCCTCCATTCACTATTTGGCATTCTCGACGATAGTAAAAGCTGACCACAGCATTCTAAATGACTTCAGCTGGTAAATTATGCATCTCTGCCCTAAGTCGGGGGATCTTGGCGGCCATTCAACTGTACCCCGTCTACCAATCCAGCGATTTGGAAACATTTCATCTAAGTATCTTCGAACATCAATACCAAAATGTGGGGGAGCCAAATTCTTTTATTCGGTATACCTGGATCAATTTCATGAGGGAAAATCACAGCTAGAGCAGGTATCAGGTCAAATGTTAGAAAATTCAGGTAGCGTGCGACAGTAAGATTTTCTTAAAAAAATAATGGGCCCAAGATTCTGTTGTTGATGATACCTGCCCAAACATTAACTTTTTGTGGATGCTGCGTATGCGATTCGCATGTCCAGTGTGGATTTTCCTGGGACCAAAAGCGATAGTTGTGCCTGTTAACCACTCCATTTAAATAAAACGTAGCTTCATCCGAAAAAAGTACGTCTCGTTGAAAACCATTATTGTCGTCACACCGTCTCATCATTTCCTCACAAAATTGTAATCGCCTATCATAATCGTCTTCCAAAAGCTCTTGGACAAGACATAGCTTATAGGGGTGGTATTTCTCTTGTTTCAGAAACATTCGAATTGCAGTTCGAGAAGCATCGTGATTGCGGGCCAATGAAACAGTTGAAGTATGAGGATTTTCAACAAGTTCTAATGCAATGTCTAATTTCTTTTCTTCATTCAAAGCACGTGCCCGTCCAGTTTTGGGTCAAGTCTGTACTGTACCGTGTTCCTCAAATTTGTGAAATATTTTACAAACTGTCCCTTGCGAGATTTGGTTTTCGGGATATTTCGCATTAAATAAATCGCGCACTTCAGCCTGACTTCTTATTATTTCGATGCGTTGCCTTTCCGACAATAACATTGCAATTCAGTTAATAACTTGATTTTGACACAATAGTAACGTTTCGAACTCCAATTTACAACTAAAGCGAAAAATTAACCAGAAAGCCTGGCAAGTAAGAGGTGCCAAAAAAAACGCAACATAAAAAATATAACTTTTTTGCGTTAGCAGCGATAGACACAGTTTCAAATTCTTTATTTTATTCTGTGCAAATTCATGGAGGATAACACTGAAGTTAATTAAATTTTATTTCACTTGTTAAGTAGGTGTTTTATACAACCCTAAAAACCTTGCTATTGAAAAAGTAAAACTTGTTTATTTAGTATGGCTGGATTCGGTTTTCTATAAGCTTTTTAACGAGCCCCCTCATGCCTTATGTTTCCATTTGAAAAAAAAAGTAGGGGTAGCTGGGGGTTAGGGGGTTGAAGAAAAATTAATTATTATATAACCGAAAGATGGGAAAAAATCAAAATCAGTTAACGTGTTTCGGCGTTTTAAAAAAAATAATAACTCATTCAAAAGATATGAATTTTATTCCGTACTTTTTTCCATCCCTGTAGATGTTCTATTCTTTCTTAAATTTTTGTTTCCAATAAAAGTTGTGTGAATTTTGTTGAAAGTATAGGATATATAGGAATTTAGGAACATGTTTTCAAAGAAGCAAAAATATATAAATAAATCGATAAAACTGCACCTAAGATATTTCATAAGCATGGGATTGTTCAAAAGAATATTGAAAAATAAAATATATGCCTGTATTCATTAAAATGAATTCTCATAAATATAAGATATATTGAGAAAGAATCTCGGACGGAATTCTCTCTACCAAATATTCATATTATATGCAATTTACTTTAGATGATTGAAACAATGTTATTACAGCTGCACCAAAACCTTTTGTAATGTAAAAGTTCATGATTTCATGTGGCTTGGTAACTTTGATATAAGTAATAATTATTTTTTGGGATGAAGTTGTAAGCTGTAATTAAAATGTAGAGACTACTCAACACATAATGGCACAACAAGAATTTGGGTTATATTAGCATCACTGCACAAAAACTTTTGTAACTTTGTAACTTTTGTAACTTTGATGTAAATAATTATCTTTCGAGATAAAGTAATAGTAGTAAGTAGAACTTATATGGCAAGACACTAATCCCAAATTATTGCACCACCAATGTACTGGGTATAGATTACAGTTGTTAGTTTTAGTAGAATTGTAAATCACGATTTTTTTTCTGATAGACCATTACAAGTTGGTATGGCTTTTTAGAATTTTTAAAAAGCCGGAAGTGTTCGTGTTTAAGGGATGATTTAATCTTCATTTAAACATAAATTATTTTTGGTTTCAGTTGTGCAAAAACATTTTGAAGTGTCAGTGGCACCTGCTGTCGAAAAGGAAGTTGAAGTTGTTGAACAGGCTAAGCCTCAAACCACGTATGTTCAACGTACTGTAATACCAAATTACGTAGAGAAAACAATTCAAGTTCCAAGTTATGTTGAGAAAACTATACGAGTTCCCACTTTAGTAGAAAAAAGAATCAGAGTTCCCGCTGCCCCAACTGTGATTGAAAAAAGTGTAGAAGGGCCTCCAGCTAATGTTGATTTTGAAAAAAGGTAACATTTTGTTTATTTATTTATTACATGTTGCATTACTTTCAACACAATCACAGCTGATGAAAGATGTTTCTTGTTTAATTTTATATTTCACTTTTAATGAATGATACTATGATAGTAAGTTTTTTTTATTTTTATATTTTTTTTTTGTTAAGAAATATATAAAAACCACAATATTTTATTGTTAACAACCAATGGAGCACATGTCTTATTTTAATCTCAAAATATGTCAACTACTTTTGTTTCGAATTTGGAATTAACTATTATATTGAAGGCCCCCAAATCTTTTGTTTAATATAAGCGAACAAAACTGTGTATTTAATTTTTAGAAAATTTAACATAGAAGATAGTGGTACATAAAACTTGTACGGCGTAGTTTCATGTTTTCAAACAGTGACGAAATTTTGCCGGACAATGGTGAAGAATGTCATATATGAAAAAGGATTGGACCATAGATCAGATCAATGTATCCTATGGTACCTTGGCCCACTGAATTCGAATCTAAATCTAAATCAAAATGTAAATCCGTTCCTGTTTTGACCCTAATATCCTGATACTTCTCTAGTTCTCTAGAGAGCCTTTTTGGAAATTTCATACAGATTTGGTAGACAATGATTGGAAAAATATTCGAATTCATGATCCCCTTGCACTATGTTGTAGCTCCTCTTAACTCGGAGCATGTAAGCTCCTGTAGGCCCATGATCTGAGATATACAGATTTGTATTACAAAGTCACCCCGGGTTTTTTCTTTATATCTACAGGTATGCTGGAAAAACTAATAGTACATTATGGGATTATAGGATTGCGGGGTTATCGGTTTGAGATCTGGAAAACCGCCTTCTAGAAAAGATTCTTATACCTCAGGATACATTGGTCTGGTCCATGGCCCAGAGTACCTTTTTTTCGTTGCGGGATGTAATATGTTAAATATCTGTTAAAAAAAATTAATACAACCTTTATTACAATATAATGAAAAAAAAACAACAGATGTGGGCTCTAAACAGTTTGCAGCAATTATAATCAGTATTATATATTGAAGAAATCGCTGCTGACATAAGGAAGAAACAGTGATGTGGTATTATTCATAACATCCTCTTTATCATTACACTGAGGATTATTTCATCATGTAATATCTTATCATTGATTTAACATACATAGATACTGCAAATTAAAACATTATGTAAAGTCAAATGCTAGTGTCCTTAATTATTTTCTAGTCAGCGCAAAATCAAACTTCCGTGACTTCGAATGGAAAACCAATTCTCACTTTCAGTCAAAGTAATTTTTAATTCCAGTTTTCATTTATAGTCTCAAACTGAAAACGATGACCACGTAATTTATTTGCTTATTTCTTCTTCCTTTAATTTTCTTCTTGAAAGACTTTAAATCATTTTGTTCAACTCTTTTTACTACGTCCTGTAATTGTTCTACTGAACTTATTGTTCTTGTATAACAAGTAAATATATTCAATTAAAAATTATCTGAGACATGTCCCTATAATCTGGACAATTCCTTCTCAATGATAGATAGAATTCAACCATTTGATGCCCGCAAAAAGAGATGGGTATTCGGAGATGTGAACATTGTTTCCAGATAAAAAATGATGTTTCTTTTACTCCTTTTTCCTTTTGTAACGATTTATTCATCTTCAAACGATCTATACATTTCTGTTTTATGTGTTTTTTTCTCGTTTTTTTCTTTTAAATATCCAACAGAAATCTGCCACCTTAGTCAAGATAAACGTCTAATAAATGTAATGTCAAGTGCATCAATAACTTTTCATCAATAAGTTTTGCAACAATTTCTCAAGTAAATTCTGGTAATCGCACTGTTCTGATTCCCCAAGAAATTCTGAGTGACTTCCTTGAAATTTAGCCGTTTTTGCGATTTAAAAAAAAATTAGGGGCGATGGACCAATTTTGGCCCCGGATTCAGATTTACAGGGTCAAAATACATTAGGATACATGGGTCTAATCTTTGGAACAGACTACTATTATTTTTTTGTGGAACTGTAAATTAATCAGCTTTTCGATGTGTTTTATCAACTCATATATTGAATGTCACACTAAACAAGCACATTAAATTATTAATACTATTGCCCTTTGGTAAAGAAACAAACAGGATATTGCAATTCACCGACCCACCTTTACCATCTCTACCGACTTTACAGATTTTTTTTATACTAGTTACACCACAACTATTTCACGTTTCATTAATATTTCGAACCATATGATTTTGTTATCAATACTCTGTCTTTAATTATGTTCTCTTTTTTCATGTTAAGTCACTGTTTTATGGAATTGATTTGTTCTATAAAAAGTTTAATTTCATTCGTTAAAATTGGCAAAATGCTCAAATCAGTAATTGAGAAAGCATATTATTTAATCACCTATTTTGCCTTTTTTTAGGTCACTGATCATAACCCACCTAGTATTTGGTAAATCGGTTATATTTATTAATTTGTTTTTAAGGTGCTGTAACAATATTAGTCAAATGCAAATTGAAATAGAATAGTCTCGTCAAACTTTTACCTATGTGAAACTGATTGATCAATACTTATTTTGTTAAGAATTTCATTCCATGTTGCGGCTAAATCAAGGACATGTAGGTTACACTTGTCAATTATTTAGAAATACGCATAATAATGATTAAATTACTTTAGATTTTTTGTGTATTTCTTCGTTAATGTAAGAATGTTTTATATTTTTTAGGCAGTCTATATATGAAACAAATTAATTACTTTAAAACAATCTTTATTCAAAGTTGGGTCGTAGCAAATTGGTCTTTTTCTTCATATTACTCTTTACCACATACCATTTACCATTAACAATACATTAATAAAAATTCTGCTGCGAGAGAGGCAAAATAATAATTTTGTTCTATATCTAACAAAATGTTACATCAACAATAGTTTTAAAGCACATTTCGATCCATGTATTGGATGATCTGCGCGAACGAATGATTCGAAGTGAACTCGTTTTTAATTCAATTTATTTTTTAGACGTTTTGGAATTTTTATACAATTTTTGTGAAGCTTTGTCTCCCAAAACTTTAGTTTAGTTAGTTCTATTTATCTGCTTTATTATTTCAAAACCATGGCTGTTCTTGAAGCAATGTTTTAACATCTCTTTCATATTAAACATCCTTATTATGTATTATTTAATCAAAAGAAATGCAATCATAAAACAGAAGCTTTAATTATAGAATTCTAAAACCAACAGTGTATTTAGTACACTGCAGGGAATGAATAAAAAATAAAACAGGTTCTATTTACATTCATCATTCATCCCAGATGATTCTATTATTTATATATTCAATTTTCATTCACATCGGATGATTCATTCGCGTGGTCAATCAATTGACCCGTGTCAATACACCTTTAAGTATCTGTTAAATTATGAAATTAGAAGAAAAACGAGCTTAAAATTGTCATTGGTAAAAGCATGAATTAAATGTTTTGTAATATTGACCAACTAATCAACTAATCTTCCATCTTTCATCAGTATTTAGTGGCTTTACAACATTTCATTATTTTCAAGTTTATGAAAGCAATTTATTGAATATAATAGTAGGGATAAATGAGGAAAAAAACATTTATATTCTGTGAATTGTAATTTGTAGAACAGTTGAAAACCAATGGTAATAATATTATATGATAGAGTTTTAATTTTCACTGACCTAATTTGTATACTCATTTCAGCAAAGATAAAGGGGATATAGGTAATTTAAAACCAATAAAATAGATGCATCCATTTTTTTTATTGAAGGGAAATACGTTAGAAACTATTTCCCTTAAGTCTAATATCGAATAGCATTGGAATCATTTCATGTATCTATTTAACCTTATAACATGTACTGGAACAATATGAATTCAGAACGATTTACCATTTTCCTTTTAAATACATTTTGGAATAATAGACGGTTAATAGCGCGTGAATTATTTCTTAACGGCATCGAGGCCATAAGCAACGTGGTGTCGTATCGACAGATCTCGTACAATTTGCGGTATCGATAATACTCGTATTTCTATTGCAATTTATTCAACCTCAAATCCTCGAAATGCATTTTGACTACTTTGGATCAATAATACAGATCCTAAATCTGTTAAAAGAAAATTTGCTATAAAGTGGATCAAACGTTTTCCCTTTTCTTCTACTACATATGATACTACATTTTAGATGAAACAAGGGTATGAGCAGGAATGAAAGAATATTACCATTAATAAAACATCTACATTATTTATTTTATCCCATTTTCTGCAAAATCATTCGAAAATAAAAAGGACCGACCTGTTCTTAGTTGAATAATTATGTTAACAACTTCGTATTCCACTTAAAATATTTGTTAACTAATAATTTTCACAATGCACACGTTTCCTTAATGAATATCTTACAATTGAACTAGTAGTGTTTTCTTATTTACTACAGAAAAACGGACAACACGCTATTTATGGCTACAACTAAGCACCTCTTTTTATGTAGTATGTTAGTCGAGTACGATTCCAGAAGTTCTCAATAAGTTTCAATAATAATAATTATTATTGTTAATTTGAAGTACCGTTTTGTAGTTTCAACGGTTTTGATTCAATAATCAAAAGCATCCATATGCTTATTTTTATATTATTAATGCATTCTACCTATACAATTAAAAAAATGTTCTATACTTTTAACTATATATAAGATATCTTTACGTATCTGTTCACCAGGCTACCACATTTTCAGATAGTTTTTAATATTCTTTTGGTTTATCCTTGTCTTTTGTTATATTTTTTGTTTCCAGCTTCAGAGAGAATTGTACTAAAAAAGTTTAATAACATTTTGATTATGTCCGTTAATATTAACTAATTAGTAATGACTAATCTGTTAATATTTGCTGAAAAATAATTAATCATATATTTATTTTCAAGCACTGTGCAAGAAGTTGCACCAGTTACTGTGGTGGAAAAGACGAGAATCCGCACTCGTCCCCATCGTGTACATTTCCGCAAACATTTGTAAGTAACTAACAAGGTTGTAAGCAGTAACTAACACATTACACATCAGTGTAAACTAAAATTCATAAGTATACTAAACGATGTAGTTCTGTGTTAACTGTATTTAAACATCGATTCCGAATTGACAAAATAATTTAGTAGGGCAAATTAAAATAAAACAATAAACATAATGTACTAACTAAAAGAAGTAATTATTAGAGAGGCAAATAACACATAATATTTAGCTGCTATTTATACCTACCTCTCGTATTTGAACCATAGGTCTTAAAATGGCTAATATTAAGATGCGCGTATTAAAAATGGCCAACATTGTTTTAAATTGACATTTTTAAGTGAATTTAGTAAAAAAATGTGTTTTTAATTTTACTTCTTTTACAAAAGCAGATTTTTTTTATTAGAAATACAATTTTGCGTATTAAAAACGGTCAACATTGTTTTAAATTGACATTTTAAATTGAATTTAGTAAAAAAATGTGTTTTTAATTTTACTTCTTTTACAAAAGCAGATTTTTTTTTATTAGAAATACGATTTTGAATACAACGTACCATGTCAAAAAATAATTGCCATGGCAATTTTGATATTTCTGTACCTTTATAAAATTGAAAACAATAAATTATATTTAAAATTATCGACTTTCAAATTTTGATATTTTCTTAGCAGCTGTTTTTTCAAAATTAAAACATATTTTTTTATGTCGAACAGTTTTGAAGTTATTGAAGTTTTACTTAACTGATGGTAAATTTATTTTAAAATTTAAAAAAATCAACTTTAAAACGGCTCATTCTCTGAACAAAATTGAAGAGATCTTTATTCTTAGAAGCGAAACTCGGATTTGCGCCATACTCAGCGTTACATTTCTGAGGTTTTTAGTAGTTATGGTCTCGGTTAGGGTACTGTAGTATAACAACCCCGGGTTCAATCGAAAAAAATATATATATATATAAACGTAGTTGTGGCCAAAAATATGTGATCGTCATAAGGAATACCTACGTTGTATATGTCATTTTTAATTGACCGGAAGGCGCTGGCTACTAACTTTAAAGAGGAGAAGTATGGTTTAATTTTATAAAACAAAAGCAGAGTAAATCCACCTAACTTTATTATTTACGTACAACAGTCTTCAAACTAAACATGTGACAAATAGAAAGAACAACAAAAACATTAACAACCATTCTCACCTAGAGCTCCTGTGAGGAAAGAGCACGGCACGATCGTTGCTCTAACTACCCAGATATAAATACAAAACAACCGCTAACAAAAGGCATACATTAAGATCCTTTGCTAATGATAAATAAGACATGACTTATTTAATTTCTCACTAAATGTCACCTCACTCGAATTAGACATACACACTTCCAAGTAAAACTGAGGAGGTTTGGTGTTAGTTAGCCGGCAGGGCCGGAAGGTACTGGAGTCCGATACGGGAGGCAATCCAGCTATGAGTTGAGATTTCGGAAGATTTGTTTTAACAATTCCTTTTTTTGGTTTTAATGATTCTTTTTACAGATTCATTCCTCACGGGCGAAAACGTTAGTAAATTCAACAAGGCTCTTATATGCGTATGACATAAAGTGAGCAAAAGAAATGCTTTATTATTTGTTTTTCGAATAACATAATCATGACAAAACAAGTTAGCTGTGAAACAAAGGAGTTGTTATTGCAATATCTGGGCAGTCACGACAATATATACATATTTTAACATGTAATAAATGATGAGCAATCGCTAATAATAATTGTAACAATTTTACCTTAGAAAAATATATGCCCTTGAGCATAAAGCAATGGAGGCTAAACATACAGAGAAGAATTATAACATTACACACAACAATTAACAACAAAGTACTTAGAGAATATTACCTGCTAATTAATACGGGTTAAACACTTTGATTTTTCACTATTTTGCCACACTGCCCGCCGATCGTCTTACTCCCCATCTCCACCCTGTTCTCACTTCAACTATCAAGGCTTCCTTCCAGAATTCCCCACCCAAGGGTTTGTTTTTGCGCTTCCTTCTACCAACTGTCAATATTACGTTTTCATTATTATACAACACCCATGTAACAGGTGACGTCGAAGATACGATGAGTATGGTTTTGCACAGTACCCCATATCTAGGCCACTGGTTGTCGCATTTTTAAGTCAACTTAGCAAAATTTTTATTTCTAAAACAATGGTGGCTATTTTTAATGTAGGTACATCATAAAAATTATTCATTTACTCATATAGTTGTATATTAGAGGTTAGTTTAGATCTTTTGTATACTCTACATTCCTGGTATCTAAGAACATTATTTGACTTCAATTGAATATTGATTTTTAGAAAAAAATTTGTTTGAATTTTGTTTTTAAATTATACAAATATGGAGGGAATCTTTAAAAAAATACCAAAAAAGAGGTGGATCCAGAAATGCCTTCTCAAAAGCATCTGGGCTGGAAGGTAAATTAAAAATATGTTTTCAGTAACGCATTAGGAGCGTTAGGAAGTGGTTATGGCGGAGGTTACGGCGGTGGTTATGGAGGTGGTTTTGGAGGTGGTTTCGGTGGTGGTTATGGCGGCGGATATGGAGGAGATTTTGGAGGTGGTCAAGCCACAAGTTCTTACACAGTGTCCAAATCCGTCAATCCTAATTTTGTTAACGACATATTTAATGTAGGTAACCTTACTAAATTAAAAATAATCTCCACATTCATGTAATATTGCAAGAAAAAATAGTTAATTATATCTCAAGTAATATTTATTTCAAAAAATTGATTAGAATTAGGTAATTTATTTAGACTGATCAGAAACATTTTCTAATTTAAATTATGTTAATTGAAATTTCTCTTTTGAATATGGTATGAAAAGTGTCTTTGATTTGAAGATGCCTTTTAAGAAGACATCCCTTCTGTCATTAAATATACTGACTAAATAATATTATATGTTTAGATCCCTATCTCGACGCTAGGAGCAGTCAGCAACCTGGTTAGTGGAATTGTAGGAGGAACAAGTGGATCGTTTTCAGTTTCCAAGTCAATAGGAGCATCTACCTATTAATTTAGAATACTCACTCAATTATATTATTCATACTCATAATGAAATGTACAGTAATTTTTACTTTTGATATAATTAAAAATTAATGTTAAATTACATAAATATAATTTTTGTGCCAGTTACCATAAGGAAAAATGTATTACGAAATACAATCATATAACGGCAAATTTAAAAATTTCTATTAATTTAATTAAACGTTATGTATGATGGACGTAAGAAGAGGGGGGATAACAAGAAGACATACATTATTGGATATTCTATTAATTTTTCACTTCTCTCATCTACAGGCGAGAATTATAACATCTGTATTGACACGCCGACCTCGCTATTTTGTTGTTGAGTTACTCATTTGCAAAGGGAAGCCCGCCATAAACTCATTTGCAGGGGGAAGCCCGCCATAAGAGCTGTAGAGTTAAAATTCAAATGTTTTTCAGAATATTAATTATTTTTATTCTAATTTTCATAATTTGGTGCTATAACAAATGCCTAACGTAAACTCAATCTATAGCAAACTGGCAGTAATCTCATGACTAAAAATCATCGCAATGATGCAACCTGAGTGGTTATTTCTTTAATTATCTATCTTTAATTAATTATCTATTTAATGCTCGAAAGAGTTACTATTTAATTCTCGAAAGAGTGATTACTTAACTCTCGAAAGAGTGACTACTTAATTCTCGAAAGGGAGTTTATTTAGTTATCGTTATACTTTAATTAACACGTGGGAACTTAGAATTGTTGTATGTTCAGAAAATTACTTCCAAGCACTTACCCTTTCATTGCTTACGTGGGATGTAATCCAGTGGCTGGTTATACAGGGTAGCACTGAAGTTGGAGAAACAAAGGAAACACAAAACTTCCAGGAAGGGTTTTATTAACAATAAACAACACAAACAAAATAAAAACACAACGGCTCGACGACATTATTAATTAATTGATTCAATCGTGACAGCGTACCGAGATTCAGGGAATGCGCGCTCTATACGAAATTTAGAAAAACTATCAAAATTAATTAATTAGCCCGATACTTTAAAGTTAATAATCAGTCTGCTCAATGTGAAACTTAAGACCGAACTGACTTTTTCGGGATCCTTCCTGAATTCCACAATTCGCTTTGACCACGCCCATTTCTTGGGTCCAGAAGTTTCGGTTCTCATCTTATTGGCGAGAACCTGAATATCGGGACGCTTGTATATTTATCTAATTGACTGAATTTACATTTATAACAATAATTATATGACTTAGTCGATCTCATTTAATCTACTCTTATAGCTAGGAAAAATCCGTCAAAAAACCCAGCTGCTTAGGTATACTCTCTTTTCGAATTACTATCAATTTTACAATATAATTTAATTTTAAGGTGGAATTTCTACGGTCTTTCTCGCGGTTTCGCGCATTATTAAAAAGATGGGGTTCTACGCGGCGTCCCAGATGCACCAGAAGACTACCATATGGCCCTGACTCTAAGCGAACTTGTTACAAATGTTGATAAATTTCGAGCCTTCCCCGAAGGACGGTCTTGTCGACCTACTACTTGAAAGCCCTCAACTTTCGATAATTTGTGTTGACAAGAGTATTTTACTTTTTGCCCATCCGTTCTGGGAACTAATAAATAAATGACTGCGCGTCCCGGCTTTTGTTACAATGACAATAATGACATTTTGAAAGTTCTAATCCTCACTTGTGGGTCTGAATGGCGGAATGAGTCGAAGCTCGGTCGAGTTCGCTTCCGATGTTGTCGAAAGCCCGCCAAATAGCTGCATCTCGAACAGACCAGCCTAGAGTATCAAAATCTTCGTGGTGGGTAATGGGGTAGTTGTGTTGTATTTCATTGCACCTCTTCTCTCCCACGAATTAAGATTTGACCTAGCTACACTGAAAGAAATGGGCTTATTAAACTGTTTATCTAGAATAATGTGTATAGCGCATATTAAAACTTTTATAACAAATATACAACTTTTATTAAAAAAAGTAATCATCTCCATACCCATTATTTATTGAGTTTAACTGGAAGGTGCCTAATACACCTTATGCATCTACGAAATAAAGGCTATAATGGCTACATTAGTATGTGTTATAGACTTTATGTTCCAATTGTATAGTAGGGAAGATTTGTTTATATAACAATTATTGTATTAACAGAATTATTCGTTCTTATACTGAATATGTTTCCGTTTTTAAAGTGTAAAACGCGTCTTATAATGGTTAAGTGATCGTCACCTCTCGGTGCATAATCGGTTATTATCGTAAAATTTCCGACAGTCCGCTGTGCATCGACTTACGATACGACTATTACATGTCTAGTTTGATGAAAATGGACAGTACCTATAGGCACATGTTTTGTGGGATACATGATCATAATGGAAAATTATGTAAGTATCTAACTGTTTTATGACTTGTAATTGTTTTGTTTTTTCAATTGTAAATCTTGTCTAAATCTTAAAAATTATTATTTTGTATGCCCTATTAGAAACCGCTGATGTTAAGTTTTACATAAGATGGAGGAACAGAAGGTTAACGGTGACAAAGAAGAACATGGGTATAAAGTCAATCAACCAGAGGAAATAGAATTAGATGGAAAGAAGCTCAACCTTTCAGGGGATGCTTCATTTTTAAGGTGGAAGTGTTATAGTGCAAATTCTCATGTAATACAAGAAAATACGGGTGCATCGTTACTAAGAAAATAAACTGGACAATTTTGGGAGCGATTTGATACTTAAATGTATGTTTTATGTTTACATTAGAACTTTAGCTTATAATTACAGTTATCCAATAAAATTTCTGAAAACTTAATGTCGTATTTTTTTAACTTATACAGAGTATGCAACAGTTTAATACATTTATTATTATAAAACTTATAACCAGTACTAGATGTTCTAATAACGATATGGAACACTTCAGTAACAGTTATTGTTATTATTTCGTAAAGGGTATAAAAAACTTTGTATACTGGTTATATAAAAATTTAATAAAGAATAAAGTTTATAGTCACTATACAACTATGTTAGCAGTACGCATTTTATATCTATTATTCACCTGTTTAAGTGTCACATATAGTATCTAATGGTCTTATAATGGCATGTAGAATTCTAATAAAGAATAAAGCGCATTTCTTTCAGTGTAGTTTAAATAAAAATGGAACTTAGATTGAGAGAAATTAACTTTCACAAAAATTATCACGAACAGTTAACAGTGAAAGAGGGCGGTTATCCACTGGTTTTTTTTAATATTGAAGTTTCTAGACAGAGTCGTAGAAAAATATACAAAAGACAATTTAGTGAAGGCACTAAAAAGCAGATGGTTATGTAGAGTTGTACTAACATTAATATCACAAGTGTTATATCGACTTGAAATTTTTTTACATAACATATACGGGAGATTTTAACAGTATATTGGTTTTTGCCGTTCAACAATAAAATGTTAAATTTTGTCAACAAACTCTAAGGAAATTAAAAATAGAACTTAGTCACTAGCAATCAATGAACAATCTAGATTATTGTAAAAACAGTTCAAAAAAATTTTCTAAACTGTTTGTAATACGAGTAATGCTAATATGTTACTAATAATATTATTGAGGCAGGGGGAATTTACGTCCCTCTTACAAAGGAAAAAAGATTCATCTGTTAAGACCTGCTATGCAATACACCCTGCAAAAAAGTTACTGATAGCCACTACTCTGGTTTACAGTTAAGTTTTTACTATTCTAAAATAGCAATTCTACCGATTTGCGTGGGTAAAATGAAGACTCTTCTTTCTATCTCTTGCAATATCTTTGAATTTAATCAACAAATTATGTTTCGCGAAGTAGTAGCAAATTGATACTTCATGAAAAGATTATTCCAAATACCTATTTGATTATACAGGGAGAGAAGACATTCTGCTACAGAAAATCTCGCTTAATGGCCGCACATATAATCCAACTTTCTTTAATCAAGAAGTAAATCTTCCTTTGGAAATACCCTATCATCTTTTTCTGGAATGTGGTTGCACTTATTTAGAATACGAATATTGTTCGATGAACGCACTTTTAGAGGAAATGTGAAATTGTTAAGAAAGATATTTATCTAAAAGTTATATTTCCCGTCTTATGAAAATTTACACTGTAACACTGATATAAAACTCCAACTCCATTGAGAGACAGAAATTATTCATACAACCATTCACGAGACCAAAAATTTAAGAATGATGACGAAGTGAAAGAAGAGGTGCGTGCTCGTAGAGAAAACGAGGTCTAACCAAAAATGCTTCTTCTTGATTTATGCATAAAAAAGTTAATACGAATATGTGAATTGAGTACCGTAGACAAAAGTGACCGTAGCGAAAATCTAGATTATTTAAATCTCTAATTGAATGAAATGTTCATAATAATAAATTTGCTGTTCCTTCTTGAAATATATTTTCAAGTAGAGTTTCCAGCAACAAAAAACTAAGAACAAGATGTATCTACAGTGAATCTCAATATTGTTTTCTGAAAAAAAAAAAAAAAAATGATTAGGTATATTCGTGAATATTTGAGAAAACGTTATTCCTTATAAAAAATCATGTTCGTCTTCAAGCTCTGAAATATGTTATTATTTTCTTGATTTTTTTATAGAGGGTGTTAAATTTTTAAAGAAATTTAAGTATCCGCAAGCAAAGCTTGCATTTTTTTTAAATATGGAAGAGTGTCACCGAGAGGTAGGTATCGTTAGAAAATTCCAAGAAAGTGATAAATACGAAGTTTCAACTGTTTTGTAAAAAAAGGTATAACCTTATATCGTATTAGTTAGACGGTGGATACATTTATTATTTCCGTAATTAAGCTGAAAACTGATTAACGAATGATAAAACTCATTGAATTCAGGCCTAGACTTCTGGGAGGTCATAAAATTTTACTGCATTATCCCATTCTGTTATTAACTTAAGTCCGTGTTGTTGAGTTCTAGTTAAGTGAAATCTCACATGGTATTGTAACTTTAGACTAGATGTCTCCTAATACGTTAACATCTCTTAGGCACAATTCTCGATATATCAAAATAATTGTGCACTTTATAAATACTTTAAAATTTTTCTAAAAAATTGGGATTAAAGACAAGTAGGATTTTTTCTTAATACTATAATAAATATTTAAAAAAAAAATTTT